ATTATAAATAGATGTATACTGTTATAAACTTAGAGCTACTTAGGATAAACAAATGTAGTTTCATGTTACAATTTAAAGTCATTCTAGAAAGAAAAAAGTGTATTTTATATATATATATATATATATATATATATATATATATATTTATGGTTGTTATGAGGTCAGTCAAATTGAAAAAGAAAGATATTTGAATTTTATTTAGGAGGTTTTAGAGATTATATAAGTGAAAAATGAAAATTTTCAGATGAAAACTATTTTTTATCTAAACATGAAAATCACCAGGAACAGTCAGCAATTTGACTATGGGTATTTACCGAGGGAAAAACTTCATGAAAAATTTGATTTTTTGTCTACAAAAGATTGTAATGTTTACTGAAAGCTTGCAAAATTGTGTGAAGACACATAAAACATATTAAAAGTTATGGTATGCAAACTCTAAAGGTCAATTTGGGCCAAGAACTTGGTTAAGTTAATCAAACTGTACTGAGAGGGTTAATATGTATTTACAAATAAAACTTCATTAGTGTTATTAGAATCTTCAGGCAGTAATTTGTTGTATGGGTGAGTCACTCATTATCTCAAGAACCAGTATGAGAAATATGTTAACTTTGAAAACAATAATCGGCTGTTGATGAGTTAAGGCAGAAGGGGAATTAAATTTTCTGACAAGCAGTGAAAAAGGAAACTAACAAGTTTGGCAAGTGGTTCAAGAATGTTCATCTGGTATGATGATTGAGTAATTATCCTTATATAAGAAATAAAAAGTAAGTTTATATATGATTTGTGTTTTCAAGAGAAAAAAATTGTCAGAATTGCTGATTTGTTTGTAACTTTAAATAATGATGTTGCAACAAGACAAGCAAACAAGCTTTAAAGATATAAGTTGCTGAAAATATATAATACATATCAGGAAATAAAAAATTATAAAAGATGTTTGTGTCAAAAATGATTTTGCTACATGTAATAAACATTACACCAAATGGTTAACACTCAGGTATAAGTAAGTGTTGTGGCACTACTGATTTGAGGGGCTCAGGTTTGATTCCCATTGCTACCGAACTTGTTTGTCCTGTCTTTGTAATGGCAAAGCTACTGAGTTTCTCTGTAATGGCTGATGAGAAGGAAGGAATTGGCTGATAGCACTCCTACCCGACCTTTTTTTTTTCTAGCTTTTAGGCTTCATGTTTTGAGGAACACTGTACTGGTCAACTAATCGATTATCAGTGTCACTAACCGCCCAACTCTAAACAAGAGTAGCCTGAGAGTTTTTAGTGGGTGCTTTTGACTAGCTACCTTTCTTCTCGTCCATCAGTTCAAAATTAAGGATGGCTATATAATTTTGTATGACATTCTGAAAGAAACAGTACCTGTCTAATGGATTTTTGAATATCTCTCTCTCTTTATCTCTGGTTGAGACTGAATATTACTATTGATTTGACCAGTAATCTAAAAATATTATTCTGTTTAGTTATGTGATATAAAGTAATATTTGCATAAAATGTACTTTTCTGAACACTATCATACCTTTGCAAATCATACACTTCATTATCCTAAGACTGTATGATCAAATTAAAGAATAAAAATATTTCAAACTATCAATATATAATGGAATTTTAAAGGATATATTTATGATCATCTTTTGTGACATTTTTTTCATTTTGTGGACTAGCTTATAGCTTTATGTGGAGTCCATAATGGTGTTAAAGATTATATGTTGTGTATCAAAAAGTTTGTTTTCTAATTTGATGACTGATTCTAAATGAAGTGTAAATTTTTTTCACACACACACAAATATGTTCTCTTCAGTTATGTTACTTTTATCTTTTTAGCATTGATAATAATATTCAAGACATCAAATTTGTTTTAAAACAAAAGACTTCAGGTGAGATGTTTACAGAAATGAAGTTTCTAGCTTAAATGATCAAAGTATGATTGTCAGAGGTGCATTTGGTTTTTGTTGCACATTACAGGGCAGCAGAATGGCTAGCCATGGAAGTGTGATTGTAACACAAATTAAAGCAGAAGATCATTGTGAAGCATCTTGCTCTAACACTGCGTTGTCACACTGTCCACCTTCACCACATATCTACTCACCTACAACATCAGGACTAACCAATGGCCAAACAGATCTTGATTTTGTCACTAGTGGAAGTATGGGTCCAGTTGTGGGTAGCAGTAAAAGTCATTGCTGGTCACCTGATGACAAAACTTTGGTAAGTGAAACCACTTGGGTTTGCAGTAGTTGTCATGGTAAGCATAATCTATATCTATCTATCCACCCATCCATTATATCTTTTTATATATTTAAATTTATTTTGCTTTATTTTTATTTGATATGCTTCATTAAAGTTTACTTTTGACCAACTCTTTTGTGTTAAACTTGTGATTTTACTCATTGAATTTTAGTTTATGGGATTATTTTCTGTTCAGGAGATTTTGTATTTAGTTATTAACCTTTTTGTAAGTGTTTGCAAATGCTAAGTGTCTGTGTGTGAAGTCTCTGCTTATTCTTGCAATAAAAGATCCCCAATGGAACAATGGTACTGTTCATTCTTTTGTACTTAAGTCACAGTTTGAGATTACTTCAGGATTTCTTTATTTACTGATATTTTTGCAATATTTGCATTTTTTCCCCCTTGTGTTTTGTTATATTCCATATCACAATTACACGGATTCCTTTTTCATCATGAATTTTTCAGCTTGTCTTTTTCTATTTATTACATGGACTGCCAGATTGTTTTTACCCATTGTTTTGGTTATATGTTCAAGACTGTAGAGGATTCATCACATGGTTATCTCTTCTGTGGTGTTTTGTTTTGTGTATCAGAACAAATCTCACTCTGAGTTAGTTTTTATCACTTTTAAGAATAAATTTTCAATGTTCTTGTGCTATTGTTGCTTCACCACTTTCTCCATTTGATCTTGGAGATGGTTTATTGGACAAATTAGTTCTCATTCTAAGGCTCTCTCAGAGGTTCAGAGAGGCCCAGGCCACTTCTATCTTTTGAGGCTCCTGATTATAATAATAAAACATATTATAACACATGAAACAAAATAAGACAATCATTAGCTGAAAGGAAAAGTGAAACATAATTTGAATATTTAATTTGTATTGTATTTATAATTTGCAGCTCTAAGCTGAGAATGTGTCACATTTTGGTCTGATTGGGAGGCACATAAAAACAAGTAATAAAACTTGACAAATGCAAAAAATTAAGAAGTGTCTAAATTTGAGCCCTCCTGGACCCTCTCTAATTGGGTGTTTTCATTCTAGAAAGAGGCTTATTTTATTATGTATATGGTTTCCCTTTCTAAAACATCCTTGAGTTCTTTAGGGTCTCTCATCTAGACTGCCCTCCAGATTTCAGTTTGTTCCTGTTCTCTTTGGAATTTAATTGATCTAACATCTTTCCTCATATCATTTTGTGTTTTCTTTATTGTTTCTAAAGATTAATTATCTTCTTATCTATCAACAATGGAGGTTATCACACATGTTCCTTTACATTTTTTGATGTACAGAAGCAACTTACAATTTCAACTTGGAACGATTATTTATGAAAATTTTCCTTATCATTTCTCATTTTAAAATGAAAAGGTGTTAAGAACTATGCCCAACTATCAAGTGCTGGTATTATTTGATAATCATTTTTTTTTGTTTTTATATTTATGTTTATACATTCCACTGATTTCAGTGCTGTATTTGAGGGGTATGATCCACTTGGACAACTTCACTGAAGTAATCTTCAGTGGTCAGGAGGTGCCCATTTTATCTTCTTTCATGGGTTTTGTATCATACTATTAGCTTTCATGTTGTGATATTTTGAGGTCATGAATCTAATTGTGGTTTATTTAAAACTTTGGTTCTGATAAATGTGGTCTGCACTCAAATATTTAAATACTTTGCTATCTTACTGAATATATTCTGATTGATGTCTTTGCAGTTTAGTTCATCTGAATGCTCTTTCTTTTCTGGTTTGTGTGTCTAATCCATCAGTTCTGAATATGGTCTTATTTTATTTTTCTGGCTTCTTACTAAATAATTCTTCTAGAATTTGGATAGAGTTTGTGCAAGTGCTTGTAAAGTCTGGAAAGTCATGGAATTTAGCTTCTGTATATCCAGTCCTGTAAAGCATTGAAATTCCATTGCTAGTACTTGAGAGTACCATACTTTTCTTTATGAAATAAACTTATTGTTGCATTGTTGATTGAAGTTTATAAACTGTATGTTATAAAACATTTATTAAAAACTGATCATAGAGGCCATGGTAAAGTTTGTGTTGCCACAATTGCTAAGCAGTTGATCACATTAGAAGATCATCCTTTGAGATTTCCATTTTGCAACTGTTAGATAGTTTTGTGAATAAAAAAACAAAAACAGCTCCAGTACTAAGCCTAATACTTGTATATAAATCGTTTATATAAGATACCAGAGTTTTGTGTTTTTAATAGCCTTTGCTCAGTGATGCTAATGTAGTGATTAGTTTAATTGCACTACTATAAGATATTGGGCTAAGTTCATTGTTTGTTACAAGTGTTTGATCTTAAAAAGAAAATGGGGAAAGTGGCTATTAACAGCCACATGAAAGGTGTAAAACAGCTTGCATTGAGGGAGACTATGAAATCTGCTTTAGTAATGCAATTAACACTATTTATTATCAGCAACAGAGGATTTGTAATTCAAGCATTTCTCATAAGAGATTTATATCATCATCATAATTTACTAATTCTTTATCAGATATTAGCATGGTTAGAGCTATTGCTTAAAGAGGCAATTTATGGCAAGTATAGTAATGGTGTATCAGGTTGGGAGAATCGAGTTTCCTAAGGAACTTCTAATGGCTTGCAGAGCTGATTATGCAAAAGTTGTAATCATTCCCATGTAATATTTCTCTTGCAACCTTTATGAGTTGGATTAAAGATCTTCTTCAAATGGTTTATAAGGACATGAGAAATGATAAGATTCTCTTGAAGGATATGATGTGTGATGGTATGCAATACTTGAAGTTTTCAGGCTTGTAGGAGCACCAGCTGCTTTGGATCAACCTAACTTCTAAGTGATATAGCTAAGAGCGATATGAGGATAATCATGGCATAGCTATGACACAATCATACATTACAGCACAGTCCTTATGACACATCCATACCAATGATTAGGTGAATATATAATGATTTTGAATATTGGACAAAATTCATCTGGTGATTTTGGTGTAGTTATTTGTTGGGTTTTTCTGATAACTACCAGATATGATTAATGCAAAATTGTGGATAAAAATTTCCATGAAAAGAAAATAGAAAGCCAAAATACAAGTTTATTAATATTTTCATTTAAATTGATCTTTAAAAGTTTACCTTATGTACAGTCATAGTACACTAAATTTTAGATTCATGATTAATCTAAATATAATACTTCATACCAGTTTGTATACAAGGATGAAGCTGGTATTATGTTCTACTATCTTGGCTCATGTTAAATACTAATTTTATGTGTTCCTTGCTTCTTTTGGGTCTTGTGTTTTCAAAGAGAAATTGTGGTTGAAATTGCCAAATCATTGGCAATGATTATAATAGTGTTTAGATAATGCTAATTATGTTACTTTATTATTGTATTGTGTAGGTAATACAAGTTAGTTATTATAAATATGACTATCCAATCCTTTATGAGATCATATTTTATTTTACTTCTTAGTAATACTACCACTGTAATCTAATCTGTAATTTGCTTTTGACTGACAAAGTCTTTGGTAAACTGGTCGAAGTTTAATCCTTGTTTTCCTACAATATTTATACATGATTTTGTTGAGGATGCTGGATTGACACGAGATGAAAATGACTTTTAATGCTGCATGTAGTATGGGTATTTTTCCATCGAATAGATTATATACTGTGGCTCAAAATAGTTGAAAGGGTGACCAATACCCCATTTTATAGCGACTAATTTTTACCATCAGCATTGTTGAGCACCTTTGCTAGTATAACATAAAATTATTAATTACTTTTTTTTTTTCTTCTCAATATTCAGCAATATTTATGCAGGTATTTATAATTTAAGTACATGAAATCCAGAATTTATCATCCTTTGAAGTTGTGTGTGTGTGTGCAGTATTTAGAGATTTGTACAGGGTTTCAGCAGTGGTGAGATGGTAGGATAGTGACGAGTGAAATGATAGCTGCTATACCAAGAAACTACAGGATGAGGCTCTTTTGCAATTTATTTGTAAATTTTATGCAGAAATAAAGTGCTTTCATTTTTACACTACATAAGCACTTGTTTTTACATTATATAAGCTTTTGATGAAAAGCAAAAGTGCTAGAAGTTCTGCTTCAGTGCCATGCATGGGCTGATTCATATTAATTTTAAAGTTACTTGAAGTAAAAAATTTTGTGTACGTGTACATATGTACACAAAATGGCAAAACAGCAATTCAACAGATATGTAATATATATGTTGTAAATATGTTTAATATATCTACATGTTACACATTTTGGTAATATGTATAATCTATCAACATAAACTGGAAATATATGCTTGTAGTATATTAAATAAACATGTAATTCATGTTATATGTCAAATCCATTACTAAGACTTATTGGGTTATGGTAATACATTCAATTCATTTTGAGCAAACATTTTGTTTCTTAAGAAATGTTTTATTATAAATTTTAATGAAACTGTCATATGACGTTTGTGCCCAGTGTATTAATGAAAATTAAGATTATAGTCTTATTGTATCATATTTAAAGGAAGTAAAAAGAAGAAGAGAAACTATTTAAAGTTTAAAAAGTTATGTAAGATCTTGTTGGTCTTAACTAATTTAATTTAGTGTTATTTTATCGTAATCTGATAATTTTTCATTTGTTAATCAGGCAACCTTTACTCTTTGATGAAAACTTTTATTAGTTTTGAGCCATTTCTTCTCTCTTTTGATTTAAAATGTTTCTTAAAGAAAGTTTATCTATGTTCAGGATCTCTACCAGAGTGATGCAGCAGAACATTCACCATCACCACCTATTAGCCCAGAGAGCCACCACCAAGAGATGTTCTGTACGAGCACTACTATGGCTATTGATGGGCCAACTGGCCTTGCTGTTGTTGGAACTTCTGATGGAAAAGTAGGTGACTGTCCAAAGAGATTGTGTTTAGTATGTGGAGATGTAGCTTCAGGATTTCATTATGGAGTTGCATCATGTGAAGCTTGTAAAGCCTTTTTCAAGAGGACAATTCAGGGTACGTAACCATTCATAACTCACTTAACTTAAACAGTATTATTCCCTATGGGTCATGATTTTGTAAACTGTTTATACAGTAACCATTATCATATAGTAACATTGACAATGATACTGGGATAAAGTTTTCATTCATTAGCAATTGTTACGGTTAACTTTGAAATAGTATTATCAAGAAAAATTTAATGCATAATATTCTATGCATTGTTAAAACTTGTACACAATAATCATTTCAGTATTGTAACATTTTCACTGTACACTTCATGTTTTTACTCCCTCTTTTACTAATTATTATGTCCTAAACACACTTCCATTTTCTAATGTTTTGTAGAGTCACTGTCACACTTGCTGCAATCCTTTTCAGATGCTAGCTAAACATATCTACATTGTTAGAATGGGGTACTGGCTACCACAGATATGCATGATACCACTGAAGACCACTTAACTCAGTTTTGCACTTTACTCTCCAAGTTTACTCTCTGAAGAGGGAATGTCTGCCTTTTAAAAGCCATTGAGCATCAGAACTTATAATATAATTCTTTGCCAATTGCCAGAATAAAAAGGTTTTTACTTATATTTAATAGTATAAATATATGCTATGTTGTTGTTGGGCGTAGGATTTTTCTACAGTAGGTGTGTGTGACTTGTTAGCGATAAATTTAATGATGAATAAACAGCACGCACTTCACTTGTTTTCAAAATAATATATATATATTCAGAACAAGTTAAACGTATGTACAACAAATTCTTCAACACTATAGATATTACAGGCATATCATAAATACTATGCATGTAGTTCTCTCCTTCTTGTCAAAAGTCCACTTATGCCTATTCAGTTACTATCATACTAGTATTCTGTGTATGATTCACTTACAACTGTGGGGCAAGTAACCATAATCGTTTGATCTTTTTTCTTCTGAAGATCCTCTGTTCCTTTTAGCAAAGTGAATTCAGGCTGATTCAATTACTTTAGAATCATGCTTTGATGGAATAAATTATTTTTCATATCTTCATTTTTGCTGTTTGTCTTACTCTAACATATTAAACATTAGTTTAATAAGTGTAAGTTGTTAGGCCTATCACTTCTACATTAGTTAACTTTTCCTTTTGTAACTTTACTTTCTTTTGCTATTATCTGTCTGCTTCTGTCTGTCTCGCTCTGTTTATATCTTTATCACTTAATCATCTGTCCGCCTTCTATATTCTCGACGTCAGTGTATTGCACGTGTCATTCGATAGTCACAACATCAATTAATTATTAACAAAACTTCCTACAATTGTCTGTCCTTAACTCTTATTATAACAAAAACTAAACAGTAATAAAATATTCACTCACAAAAACAAATCGATCAATAACATCTAAACTAAACAGTCTTTTTTTGTCATGACATTGAGTTATGGATTTTTTTCTTTGTGATTGATATGTTTTTGTGTATTACAAACCATGAAATAATTTATTTTTATAAATTACAATTAAGTATTACTTCTGTAGGATATTTCATATAGTATGTTTTTCATATTTTGCTTGATTGTTAATTTTAATCATTGCATATTTTTGAATGAAAATAAATGTTGACTTTTTCCTTCAGGAAATATAGAATACACATGCCCAGCATCAAATGATTGTGAAATCAACAAACGAAGAAGAAAAGCATGCCAAGCTTGCCGTTTTCAAAAATGCTTAAAAATGGGAATGCTTAAAGAAGGTAAGGATAACATGCATGATTATCAATATTGGTGTACTTTTACTAAGAACAATACAACTACAATATATAGAGTATTTTATTACTTTTGTTTGTTCCAACATGATCTAGTTTAATGTCTAATTAATATAGCAAGATTTTTGTCTGATAAATATTGTAACTGTCCATTGTTCTTTATGAATGTAAGTCTCTCAAATGTCTTGTCAGTGAGGTTGTGGCAATCAGGTCTGAGGGTTTTGTTTCTGATGCTAAGCAAATACTCAATGAGAGCAGAGTATGTTTGAACACTCAGGTAGCATTTGATTAGTAGAGATAAGGAAGGAAAGTTTTTTTTTTTAAATGGATGGTTCTTCCATCTAGAGAGTTGCTTTCTTCAGGAAAGCAAGAACCATAGAGGTAGGTGTTGATATCTGTATCCTCTGAAGATGAGGTGGCTGTTTTCTTGGAGGCAGAAAATAAACTAAAGAGCTTACTTCTTTTGCAAGAGGGGGATTTACAGTCCTCTTTTGGTTCCATGGTTTTAGGATTATTTGTTCAGGAAACTTTCTTGACTTCTTCATGCAGGAGCAATTGATTGGATTAATGGACCATAGGTCTAGTGAAACACTAGTCAAGTTTAAATCTGGGATCCAATGCAGAAGACACTTCGTTGCTCATACTGAGTCAGCCAGGTGTGAACAGAGTTCTTCATTGTGGAGACAAGTTTGAAATTATATCTGGACTGCATGCTGTAAATCTCGGTCATCAGCCTATAAACACATGGTACTACATAACTGGATGTAAGTGTTCTGACCTGGATGAAATGTATTGCCTCTTCAAAAGTTGTCAGTATTGTTACCAAATCTGCAAGCACAGTTCAATCATGAAAAGTATGTTTTGATGTACCAGTATGTAGATTATACAACTTCTCCTAGAGAATCTTCAATAAAGACTTAATCATCTTAATTTCTGAGTTCCGTTGTGTTGGTGTTACCGATTGAACTCTGGCCTCTCCCTCTAGTAGATCAGTTGCTTGTGTTGATTTTTGAATGTAGGACACAATGGCTGATGCTTTGGAAATTACTTTCAGCAGTGGTCTAGCTTTTTTCATGCCATCCCTGACCACAAGCTATAGCATATGGGAAAAGCAGGGGGCATGTTCAGGAAGAAATTTGGATAAATTGTCTTCTGATTTAGATTTATCCAAAAGATCATCTTCTGAGTCACTATTTGTAGATGAGCTATCACCATCTCTCACAATAGGTAGTGTTTGTGGTTCAAATCCAGGCAAGCAGAGAGCCTTGATCATGTTGGTGCATTATCAGATGTTAAATATGACACCTTGTTGTTGATGTTAGAGATTTATTACTTCATCATGTTGAGCTGCAATGTTATCACGTTGTGACCCACCTTGAAATGCCATCATGTCAGCATGACTGTTTGCATTTTCCAGTCAAGTATAAAATGACCAGTGATTCCAAGAAAGCTGCACATTTGTCTGCTACTCCAGATATCCACAGTGACATTGATGTTAGTTACAAGTTATAGTAGAGAGATGTCTTTTTGTTAGACTTCATCAAACCTGCTATCGATCAACATTATGGACAGATGCTTATAACTTGGAAGAATATACCAAGAATCCATGGTAAATGTGAATACTCCCAAAGGAGCATTCAAATACTGAATACAAATACCCCATATTTGTTAATTACTGTTGTTATTTCATCCTCTTTGAATAATAGGCAGTGTATAAGATATTACAACAATTTTTTCTTTGTTCTATCAGACTGTGTGTAATTATTACATTGTAACAATACTTTGGTGCTTTGTGGTACCAGCATGTATGAGCAACACTCAGTCCAAAGCTGTTTTTTAGAACATTGTTTAGGAATGTCAGGCCTTTTCTGTATTGCAGTTTTTCAGCATTCTGGCCCATCAACATTATCTTGCAAAATGCATTCTTGTAACATTAATTATGCATCCATAGTTGTTTTTTCTAATAGTTGTTTCAAGTATACTAGACATCACAGTTACTTGACCTTGTTATGAAGTCAGTAATATACAACTCCTTATGCTTTGATTTTCTGCATCAGTTATTTCCATAAACCATGGCTGACACGATAATTTTGGTCACTCCTCTTTATATGTGCAAGTTTTCTCTGCCTCTTCTCAAGCAGTTTCTTAGCAAGATCTTCCAAACAAGTTGAATGGTTCTGTTGGATTTGGATGAGCTATGTTTGTTGCTGGTCATTTAATGTGTATTCTTCTGTACTAATCAAAATGGAAAATTTCAGAAAATGTTGTTTTATTGTGTCCATTGACCATTGGTAGTGTTAATGGCAGAGGTTATGTATTTATTTTGTTACCTTTACAAAAATAGGAGTATTTGTATCAGACATTTGGTGTTACTAATCGCTAAGAGGCATTTTACTAATTTCACTGGGATTTTGAGGTGTTGGATTTTACTGTTTGGGTTTCTGACTTCAAAAAGTGTTTGATTTAAATTACATTGCTGGAGTCATGTTGTATTTTTCCTTTTTACAGGGACTTCTTAACACTTTGTGCATATGTGTGTGTGAGTCAAAGTGTGCATTTCATGACCTTTTATAGTGATATATGGAAACTTTAAATAAATAACATTATTATCAATGTATGTTAATAAACTTGGCATCATTATGTACTTTATAATCCAAAATTTCATATTATGTAAGTTTTAATTTCTTAATTTTAAAAGGAAATATTTAAGATTCTCTATCTTCACTTTTCTGTGTCATGTGATACTTCTTTACTCTGAATTATCTGTTTTAGATTTTATTTTTTCCTTTTTATGGGTTTCAGATTGGCCACCACTTAGAAACACCAACTACAGATATTGACAGGACTGAACTTAAATAAAAAACCTCTACCTTCTTTATTTTCTGAGATATCAATAGATTTGTTACATACACCACAGAAGCTCTTTCCAGCTTTTAAAATTACTTATTTACTCACAATTGTTTGTCAGTGGTACATGTTTATAACCAATATAAGAGCATTTTGTGAACTATGTTAAATGACATCTATCTTAATTCTTTCACAATGGGCTAATGCAATTTACAAAATCCTGTATTGAGAATTTCCCCGTAACTCAGAGATTTCTTAATATATTCTATCAAAAATGGGTAAGATTTTGTTAAAGGTCATAAATATCTTGTACACAAAAAATTACATAATTTTAATTAAGTGTTTTTACTAAAAATAGGTTATTTATCTATTGTAGTTACTTGCACTTAAACTTTTAATAAATCAAGTGGAAGGTGATTTTCATTTTAAGTATAAAAACACTTCTTCATCTTATAGTTTTCAAATTTCATTTGCATAATCTCTAAAACCTCCTAAACGAATATCAAACGTTTTTTTTAAGGTAAATATTTATATTTCATTTTCGCTACAGCATCACTAACTCTAGCTCTTATCATCAATGTACAATGCAAGGAAATGATTAAATGTATGAAGTAGAAAAATTACATACCATTTAATTTTTTGTTGAATATCTTTAAAGATCTTCTTTTGGTTATATTTGTAATTTTAGGTCTTTCCCTTTTCACATATAGTTAATTTTTATGTTTTATTTTCCTTTCTTGCCCTTTAGCATTTATTATTCATCTTAACACAAGTCAACTGTGCCCCTGGGGTATATTACAGTTCGTAAGTTTTCAAGGCTTAACCCTTTTACCCCGGGTATTCTTTACTACGCGTGACAGAAAGTTTTAGTGTCTTGCACTCAAAATTTTATTAAACTACTTTTTGTTCATGTTATACCAATTAGTATAGCATAAAATTGTAGCTAATAATCCATATTTTAATAGTACATAAGTTTTAAGTTCCTAATTCTACAAGACAATATAAAAATAATCCTGAATTTCCCCTAGGTGACATTCATGACATGTTTTCTATAGGCATTTTCTCTTTTCTATTTTATCCAACACCCCTTGAAAAAGTATGAAATTAAACGTAAATTACTGTCTATAGTTCTATTGCCCTTTTAACTGTATTTAGCTACTATTCATGCCATTATAAGCTGTAAATCACTTGGGGAATGTGTAGCTCACGCTATCGAATTACATTACCCATGAGCTATTCTGAGCTGCTCATGTGTGTGCCTTGTGAAACATTTTTATTATATCATTATTATTCATTTTACCTAATCTTAGCTTAACTAATCTAAAGAGATATTGATTTTTAATTTTTTATTACTTTTGTAATAATAAATTAAGAATAAACATGAAAAACAAGAAATATAGTAATTACCCGAGTCTTCTTTTTTTTTTGCTCTAGACTGTTGATGACACTTAACCCATTTTTTTTTTATTTAATTAAATAATGCACCAAAGAACATAGGGGAAATTGTCTACTTTTTTAATGTTATTATTCAAACTATCATAATTTTTCTGGCTTTCTAACTCTGCAACAAGAACTGTTACAAAATCATCCAAGCTAGTTCTTACCTTTCCCGTGGAAATAACGCTTGTACTAACTGTGAAATTGACAATTCTCCATTAAAAAATAATGTTATATAATACATCATTTGATAGATGAAAACCATTGCTTTCTATTGGGTATAGATAATATAGAATTAAATGTAAGAGAGAACTATTAATAAATCGTGAAAGAGAGAATGTGATAGGTGGATGTGGCAATAGGGATCTGATTTTCTTTTTGATGGCTCTGTAACCAAACAAAATTGAAGTATATAAAAATTATGGTTTGTCTGAGCAATGATGATTTTATAGTGAGTAATTTACATTGAATTTTGTATTTATTGGAGGGGTGTTGGATAAAATAGAGAAGAGGAGATGCCTAGAGAAAATGTCACGTGACACTCTAGGGAAAATTCAGGATTTTTGTAAATATTGTCTGAAAAAATTAAGAAATTAAAACTTGTATACTATTAAAATATGGATTATTAGCTAAGATTTTATGCTACACTAATTGGTATAATATAAACAAAAAGTAGATTAATAAAATTTTGAATGTAAGTCACTAAAACCTTGTGACATGCCAAATAAAGGATGCATGTGCAATTAGGGTTAAACTGTTACAAGTCTGATGGTGTTTAGGATAAATTATTAAAATTATCAGTTACAATCTGCACTCATTTTAGAAAGGAAAAAGAGTAATTTAGATTTATTTCATATTTTTTTGTTATGTTTACATAGTCAGTCAAATGGACTGAGTTCATATAGTGTTAGGATAGATAAAATATGAGCAAATATAAAGTTTTATTAAACAAACTTTTGATACTCACTTCGTATGTTGTAGAGGTTGTGAAAATGAAATTTGGAAAGTGTTAAGATGAAAAAAGGTATTTTTATTCTTAACATGAAAATCATCTTGTACTCTGGCTAGTCAGAGTCTGATTAAAGTAAATTCAGAGATAAATCTTTCTTAGAAATACTTCATTAAAAATTCTGAGTTTTTGTGTACAGCATACTTGTAATGTTTACTAAGCTTACCACATTTCATGAATATACACTAAGTAAACTTGGAATTATAGTAAACAGGGTCAGTTGTTAAAAATTGTTTATAACTTTAGGCTAATGTTCATAGGTTATACAATGCTGAATGTTGCTCTTTATTGCAAAATTGCTATACAGGTGTTATTGACATTTTTAATGTAATGTCTTTGCATTATTTTATTTAATATTCTTTGTCACATTTCTCATTTTTCACTTGTGCATGTTTCATAACTGTATTTGTGCAGCTCTTAGAAGCTAAGAATTGAGAATTGAATCAGGCTCGGGTCATAGTTGAGTGACAAATATGGATTATTCAGTATTAATAAACTGATCTAGCTTTGTAATGTATATTGTTGTTGTAGTTGTTTACATTGTGAAAAAACTGGTCATTCATCAGCCTCATTTCATTAAAGGTGTTCGATTAGACAGAGTACGTGGTGGCAGGCAAAAGTACAGAAGAAGTGCTGACCACCTATGTAATGTACCAAGTTTGACATTAAAAAAGCCATCTTTAGAAGGTAAGTAGTTTAAGTATCTATAATTGTATTATTAACTATGTAAAATCATTACAGTAGGACAGATGTATTTTAGTGTTATATTTATCTTTCATCTAAATTAGGTTCTATTTTTTAAATTTATTTTTCATTTATAAAAGACTGTTTAGTGTAGGTATTATCAATTTATTTATTTTGTAAGTGAATATTTCCTGATTTTTTTTTTTTTTTTTTTTT